AGGAATGTAAGGGGTTACTCTTCATTCTCAACCCTGGCACCTTTTCCTATTCAAACATTTATTGAAGTCATGCCTTCCAAGTCCTAGGCACCTATGGGCTGGCCTACCTACACATGAGACAATCATGGGAAGTAGTTACCTGAGGCTTTGGAAGAACTGAGACAAAGATAGCACTTGTCTGATGAGACCACGTTCCTGGTACTCTGCTAGGTAACATGGGTAGCGCACAAAAAGAAATCAGCTGCAAATCTTACCCTTAAAGAATTTGCAGTCTAATCAGATAATTCAGATACAGCAACCAGAAATCACTATGCTAGGTGAAAAATCGTCCAGACTAAGTGCATGTCCCCTAGCTCCTTGTTTTTTCTGTATTTCTCCAGAAGGGAAGAAATTACATAATACATCTTTCCAGGGCATGGGCAGCGGCCCTGGCATCCAGGCTAGCAGAGAGGGCTTCAGGGCCACGAACTTGTCCTTGGGCTCTGAGTTGCCTTTCCCAGTTGCAGAGAAAGTCCCTGCACAGGCCGAATTCGGCACAGCAGTGTGAGATGGTGGAGTACGGAAGGAATGCCCTGAGGCCAGGAAGCAGCTGTGACAATTGGCAGGCGGTGGCCGAGGCGGGATGATCCGTGGAGACAGGCTTCCGACAGAATGAAGTCTGTGAGGAGGCCTATGACCGGAGAGCGCAGACAATCCTCTGGAGACGGACTCTGTGGAGACTCCTCACAGGGATTCGGAAGGCTGGAGCTATGTTCGGGTCCGGGTCTGGGTCCAAGTCTCAGTGAAGGGGGGAGTCATGGGAGGTGGATCGAGGAGAGCGCGGTGTAGAGAGGCTCCCTGAAGACTGCGGTGAATTTGGTTGTGGGGGTGGGCAAGCCCTGAGGATTCCAGGGCTCTGGGGAGATCAGGCAGTGAGGACTGGGGCCTGAAGGCAAACTCTAAGCCCGGTCCGCAGGGTACGAGGAGACGCCAACCCGCCGAGCGCAGAAAAGCCCAGAAGAAAGGACCAGAGCGGGCAGCGAGCCCAGCGCGCGCCAACCGCTGAGGCGCCTCGGGAAGGCTCACCCACCCGCCGCCGCGCCCGTTCTCATTGGCACCTCTTACTTTCCCGCGGATTGGCTACCTCTGAGTCCAATAAAGCCGGCTTGAGCCCTACTTCCGGTGAGAGCGAGGCAGGCCCCTGGAAAAGCCGGAAGAATCCGCTTCCTCGCGCTTCCCAAAGTCGCGGGCGCTCAGAGTACAGTGCCGAAGAGCCCAGAGGCCGTAGGGAAGCGGGAGGATACATCGGGCGGGAGGTTTGGAGCAGGAGGTGGGACAGAGTGGGAGGGGCGGGACTTTGGTGGGAGGGGCGGGGCCTGCGGAGAAGGGAGGAATTAAATGAATCTGGGCTTACTTTAAACAGACGAAGAGGCCAGGACTTGGTGGGCGAGGCCTTAAGAAGCGTGGGTTTTGGTGGGCGTTGCCATTATGGGGCGGAGTCATGTGGAAATATTAGCCCTTCCCTTCTGCCAGGTAGCATGGGACACCGTACTCTAGCTTCCGCCCCGGCCCTGTGGTCCTCTATCCCCTGTCCACTCTCTGAACTGCGTCTGGACTTGGTTCTGGCTTCTGGACAGTCCTTCCGGTGAGTGACCCAGGCTCCTGACTCCACAGCACTGCAGGCTTGGGGTACAAAGGAATGTTGGGAGTGATGGAAGAAACCTCAGGGTGTAAAAGAGGAAACTGAGGCACAGTGGTGAGCCTGTTACCTCCTTTATAAAGTGGATGTAATAAGCCTGTGCAGTGTTATGAGGATCAAATGATGTATGTAATTGATGTAAAAGAAAGCACTTTTGCTTTATAATTCATTAATCAGTTTTGTATATGGAACAGTTGTAGGATGGGTGGGCCCCAAAGGGTTCAGGAAGGGAAACTGAGTATTGGGGCTGCCCTTTGCCTCGGGGCTCAGGTGGAGGGAGCAAAGCCCTGCACACTGGAGTGGCGTGCTGGCGAACCAGGTATGGACACTGACCCAGACTGAGGAGCAGCTCTATTGCACTGTGTACCGAGGGGAAAAGGGCCAGGTTGGCAGGCCCACGCCAGAAGAGTTAAAGGCGGTGCACCAGTACTTTCAGCTGGATGTCAGTCTGGCTAAACTGTATCACCACTGGAGTTCCATGGACCCTCACTTCCAAGGAGTAGCTCAGAAGTTTCAAGGTGAGTACAGGGCTTGGGACAGAGATTGGGGTTCTTGTAATTAGGTTAGCTTACTCAGTTTTACCATCTGTAAAATGGGGAACACCTCATAAGACTTTATGAGGATTAAAGGAATTTATACATGTAAAGGGTTTAGAATAGTGCCTGTTGCATAGAAGTTATTACTATTATTATTATCCTGCTGATCACCATAGTGGAGTGACAAGGATATTGAGCCAAATCCTGGCTATGTGACCTGGGACAGGTGACATCATTTATTTTGTAAATATTTACAGAACATTTGTTGTGTGACTGGGGATACAGTGAACAAAATGGACACAAATCCCAACCCTCATAGCACTTATATTGTGGCTTCTTTATCTAGAGAATGGGTCGATGACCCAGACCTCACAAAATGCAGTGAAGAATGAGAGCTCTGGTGTTGCTTTCTCCAACAACGCTATCCTTTATGCCCCTGGGATCCCCCCGGAGCCTTGGTACCTAGGATTTGAGAGTGGGAGAGGCCACTCCCAACAGCCTGTGCTTTTTATACCCCCTGCCTCCAATCTCCAGGTGTGCGACTCCTGCAACAGGACCCCATCGAGTGCCTTTTCTCCTTCATCTGTTCCTCCAACAACAACATTGCCCGCATCACTGGCATGGTGGAGCGGCTCTGCCAGGCCTTTGGACCTCAGCTCATCCAGCTTGATGAGATCACCTACCATGGCTTTCCCAGCCTGCAGGACTTGGCTGGTGAGTAGATGGGTCCCTGCCCCCAGGTCCTCCAACAGCTTTCATGGTCTGCTCAGTTCTTCCCTGGTCCCTATCTCCCATCTCAAAGCTCCCTACCTTCCCCTCTGCCCTCATCCAGAACACCCTGCTTGGTCTGATCATCCCATCACACCTCATCATCCCTATCTGCCCCTGAAATGTCAGCACTTCGCTAGTGTGTGCTTTTTGCCCTATGGGTTCAGTACCTCATCAGAAAAACATCTGTATGCAGTGTACAGTGGTTTGGGCTTAAGAACTCATGTTCTAGAGACAGACTTCTGGATCTGAATCCCAACTCTGGCACTTCTAGCTATATGACCTTGAGCACATTATTTAGCCTCTCTGTGCCTCAATTTCTTCATCTGTGGGATGGGAAAATAATAGCACCTACCTATCAGAGTTGTCACGAGGATAAAGGAATACCCATATTGCACCTAGCACAGTGTTTAGCATATGGGATGTATGCAGAAGATTCAAGTTGCTATCTTTACAGTGAACCCAACTATTTTGTATCCAAGAACATAAATGCTCTTCACAGCAGCCCTCTGAGACAAATATTTTACAGAGGTAAGTATCTCAGTTAGTAGATGTGAGAACCAAACTAGGGAAAGTAATTGGGGACTGCATAGCAAGGAGACAGCCTGCCTAGAGAAAAGAAAATGTTTTTGGTGCTTAGAAACCCAGTCTTGGGTCTCAGCTCTCAGCTTAGTAGTCATAAGACCTCAAGAAATTCATTCACCTCTCCAAGCTTCTCTTAACTTGTTTGTAGGATAGGAATAACATTTTCTATCTAGAAGGGCTTGAGGGATGAATAAAGCAATCATCAAGCAGGGTAGTGTAATGGGTTTGGAGCACCGGTGGTGTTGTCCCAGACCCAGGTGCAAGATCCCGTCTCCACTGTGTTCTTTCTTAAGCAAGTTACTTAACCTCTTCTAAGCCTTCATTTCTCTATCTGTAAAATGGGAAAAAAGTACTGTCATCAGGGTCCTTGAGAAAAGTATGATAATGTATCTAAAGCACTTTGCCCGTGTTTGATACACAGCACTTGATCGAAGAAGCTGTTGCTATTATTATTACTATTATTTTATTTTTTATAGCTATTATTTTAGATTGTGGGTTTGAATAGGCCTTTGGAAAGGTTAAGGAGCTTAATTGGGGAGTTCTTCCAGGGCAGCAAACCCTTCTCAGTCCCTGCTCCAGAGCCCAACACATTGTAGGTGCTCAGAAAACATTTGTAGAGGGGCAGAACCCAGGCCTTAACCCTTCCCTTTGCACATAAAAGTGTCCTGAGGTCTCCCAGAGGGTGGTAAGGGGTGGGAAAAGGGCGCTGAGTTAGAGGGCTCATACTAGCCTGAGGACACGGGGGATTTGAGGATGCCTGACCCTGTTCCTTTCCTCACCTACTCCACAGGGCCACAGGTGGAGACTCAACTCAGGAAGCTGGGCCTGGGGTACCGTGCCCGCTATGTGAGCGCCAGTGCCCGGGCCATCCTAGAAGAACAGGGTGGGCTGCCCTGGCTTCAACAGCTGCGCAAGGCCTCCTATGAGGAAGCCCACAAGGCCCTCTGCACCTTGCCCGGTGTGGGCACCAAGGTGGGCACCACAGTGAAACCCCAGGGGGGTAGGAGCTACCCTCACCACCCATGTGGAGAGTAGCAGAGTAGGAGACAAGGCAGGCCTGAGATCTGGGTGCAGGCTTGGCTTCTGGAGACAGAGCAGACAGGAGAAAGTATACAAGCAGATGTTTGATTAAAGAAAATGCAAAGGGTGTAAAGGACATTGCCCTTTGAATTCATTTTTAGAAAGGCCATTTGTTTAGGTGCATATATTTACTGCTATATGTATGCAGAAATTTCTTGAAGGAATCACAAGAAACTTAATAGTGGTTACCTTTGGGAAGAAAATAAGAAGTTGCTTTTACTTTTCATTTTATTCTTTTCTTGAAATTATATGTACTTAAAAATTTTTTTAATTTCAACAGGGTTAGCTGGCATAAGATGATTGGGAACTTGCCTTTTATTTTCTTCTTTATACTTTCCTATAGTTTGGAAAAATGAATTTTTGTTTAATGAACTTATTTTTAATGGTCTCTGAACTTCAGCCTAACATTAAATCTTGGTTTTGCCTCTTCCTAGCCATGTAACTTGAGCCAAGTCATTTCACATTTCAGTACCTCAGTTTCCTTGTCTTCAAAATGGATACAGCACCACTTTCTTCCCATGTTAAGATGAAAGCCTGGCCCACATAGATGTTCACACAATAGCACTCTCATCACAGCTATTTTTAAAATTATTAATAGATAGTATATGTTGGTTGAAAATATAAAATAGCAGTAACATCAGAGTGAAAGATAAAGTAGCTGGCTTTGGGGCTAGAAGCAGGATGCTGCCTGGATCCTGCCATTCCTCCTCTGTGGCTTACTCTGTGTCTGTCCAAGGTGGCCGACTGCATCTGCTTGATGGCCCTAGACAAGCCCCAGGCCGTGCCAGTGGACGTCCACATGTGGCAGATTGCCCAACGCGACTACAATTGGCACCCCACCACTACCCAAGCCAAAGGTCCAAACCCCCAGGCCAACAAGGAATTGGGTAAGGGGAGAGAGTGGGATGCCAGGGCTGGTAGTGGGCTGAAGTGGCAGAAACTTCTCGCACCTCTTCCGACAACCCTACCCCTGTGGATAGGGAACAATTAATTTTGCTTCATCATTTCTAATTTAGGAAACTTCTTCCGAAGGCTGTGGGGACCTTATGCTGGCTGGGCCCAAGCGGTAAGTGTACCTAGGATTCCCCTCCTCCTTCAACCCAGACACCATAGGATTTCTCTCCCCGCCCTGACCCGGTAGACTCTTCTACCATCACCACCCTAGGTGATCCCAAAGGATTCTCCACCCTCCCTCCCCAGCCTTGACTCCAGTAGACTCATGATTCCCTGGCACTGCTGCACAGGAACTCTTCTACCTCCCCATACTGCCACCAGCCCTGACCCCAGTGTACCTTCTCCCCCTACCCTCTACCCCCAGGTGCTGTTCAGTGCTGACCTGCGCCAGCCTCACCAAGCTCCGGAGCCACCCACCAAGCGCAGAAAGAGATCCACAGGGCCTGAGAGCTAGGTCGGGGACACTAGACAAAGGGATTCCCCAGCACCTTCCTGTTCCATTCCCCACTACTCTCTCCCATCCAGCCTCATGTTGGGGAGGAGGACTCCCTAGAACTACCTCAGAGGCTAGGCACCCTCAAGTCAAGCAGTCGGCACAACAGCGTGGGGTGGGCTTATCTGGGGAGACAGAGAGCTACGTATGGTTTTATCCTCTTCACTTTATTACAAGAAGGAACAATAAAATAGAAACATTTGTATGGAAAATGCAGAAAAAAAAAAGGGAAAGGGATGGGGCCGGGGGTAGGGCAGAGTAACTCCCCAGTTCTGGGAGGGAAGGGGAGCAGGTTGCCCCCAACCCTTCCCACATAGGGGATCGTGACCCTGGATCCAGAGTCCTAGAGCTGGGGTGGCAGTGTGGGGGACAGCTCCGGGCCTGGCTCCATGCAGCAGTCTCGACAACAGCAGCCAGCCACTGGCCCTACATGGGAAGAGAGAACAGAGTTGGCTGTAGGAGCAGACCCTCCACTCCAGCCTGGGTACCTCTTTGTGGACCATCCATGCCCTTCCACAGAGCCCTGGTCCTCACCCCCAGCTGCTGGTGTCAGCAGCTCCCCGTGGCTTGCTGTCTGTCCCTGCCCCTCCTGGCTGGTGCCCAGCTGCAGCTTCCTCATGTGCCGCACCACTGCCGTGGCATTGAAGGCTTGCTGTGGGGAAGAGGGGGAAGAAGGGACTTTTAGGAGAGTGAGAGATCATGGGGCAGGGTCTGGCAGTGGGATTCTTGCAATGGTTCTGTTATTTTCAGGTGATTGAACCCCTAAAATCCCCCAAAACATCTGCAAGGCTTTATTAAATTATACTCACCCATATTTATACTTACACACATATATAAAATACATGGATATAAACATATATATTACTTTTTACATATAATTAATTCATATTCACATAATAGCAAACACTTTATATAGCATTGTGTGTCAGGCATCATTCTAAGCACTTTACATAATCATTTAATCTTCACAGAAGTCTTTGAGGTGGGCACTATTAGTGTCACCGTTGTCAAAGGAGGAAACTGAGGCACAGAGAGGTTAAGTAACTTGCCCAGGTGTGTTCACCATATCCACCAAGATGTCCCACACTCCTCTCAATTCACCATGTCCAAAAACAAAAGCATCCCCCCAAGACAAGTGTCTGCCCCTAGGATCTCCATCTCAATGACAATACCACTGTCTACCCTGTCCCCAAACAAATACTTGGTCCAGACCTTGACATCTCCTCTTTCTCCAACATCCATTCTACCATCACTTGTCAATTCCACCTTCTATGACTCCTGGACCAACCACTCTTCTCTGTTCCCGTTGCCACTGCTCTGGTCCAAACCCTCATTGTCTCTTGAGTGCATCTCTGCCACAGCCTCCTAAGGGGTCTCCCAGCCTTCACTCCATGTCTCTTGCTGCATCCTGAGAGCCCATTCTAAAGGGAAATTTCCTCCTGGAAATCCTTCTGGGGGTCCTCAGCATTCTCAGGATCAAGTCAGGGCTCCATTTTGGTACTTGAGACCCTGATCAGCCTGAGCTCCTGCCCCACAGCCCCTCAGCCCCTACTGCCCCCGCAGCCCCTCCAGTCCAGCACTGGCACTTCCCTGAGTGGACACACTCTCTTGCCTCTGACTCTTTGTACATTGGTTCCCTCTGTCTCAAACATTCTTCTGTGCCTAGCTAACTCCTACTCAGCTGTCAGGTTTGTCAGGCCATCACCATGTTTATGCTGCTTCCAGGACCCCGTAGGTTGGATTAGATGTCTCCTTAAGAAGAATTACACACTGTTCTAGACTTGGAGGTCAGGGACCCTCACTGGAATACAGTAGGTGTCAGGGAACAATGAATGAATGAATGAATGAATGAGGTTCTTCGGTAAGCATCCCTGAGCTGTTACTGTGTGCCCAATGTGGTGTTAGGTGCTGTGCAAGCTGAGGCCAAGAAGTGGGGAGAGCGGGGAGGATTCCCAGGGAGGCTGGGACCCAGGACTAGGGATGTGGTCTCACCTTCCACTTGCTCTTGGCAAAGTTCTTCTTGATCTGCTCACTCACTGACTGATGAATATTCTTATCTAGAGCTGTATCTCCTGCAATCCTAGGGTAGGGTGTGTGGAGGGTTATCTGTGAAGGCAGAGCCAGGCCTGGGGGGCCCAGACCCCAGCCCAGTCCACAGCTCATAGGCGCTCTCACCACGGGTGCTGCAAGGCCTGCTCACAGGTGAACCTCTTCTCTGGATCCTTCTCCATCAAGTGCTGGATGAAGTCTTTGGCTGAACCCCCAAGACAAAAGCAAAGACAGAAACAGCATGGTAATGCCTGTGGACACCCGCAAGACAGAACCCACCCCCTCAGGTGTAGCCTGGCATCCAAGCAAAACAAGAGGTCAAATCTGTCCATGCACCACCCCACCCCACATGTTATCTTTCTCTAAGCCCTCCACCCAAACCCAGCCTTCCAGCTCTCTCTTTTGTCTCTTAAGAAAAACTTGTTCTTAGAGAAGATTCTACTCAATGCATTCACACTGGTATGTAAATGATTGATAATGATTTCACAGATTTGCCTCCTAATAGGAAGCACAAAAGGATAGATGAAAATTTTTATGTGGTATTTTAGGCATTAGGAAGTCAGTGGGGGAGGTATTTTCAAAAATACTCTGAAGACTGAATGAATGAATTGCTTACACGTTTTTCAGACCAGGGGCAAGCAGAGGGAAGTACCTTGGGTAGAGTAGTCTCAAAGATAGCTCTTAGTCTGGGGCCAGGGAAATGACTGAAGGAAGGCAATGAGGAGACCCCCAAAGCAGATGAGGAAGGCATCAGAGGCAGGGCCCAGAGGAAGAAGGCAAAGCCCCAAATACCAGAATCAGAGATGTCGTCCCAGTAAGGAGAGTCAAACTCGTACTCGGCCTTCAAAATCTGTTCAAAGAGTTTGGCATCATTCTCGTCATAGAAGGGGGGGTAACCGCAGAGCCTGGGCAGGGAGAAACTCATCCTCAATTCCATTTTCAGTGTACCCATTGGCTTCGGAATGGAGCTCAGGGCAGTCTGGGGGTCAGGCAGGACCCACAGGAAGGAGTTTACCCTTTTACAAAGAGGGGGGCAGAATCTACCCCTCTCTGCCTTGTTCACTCCTGTCCAGCTACACTGACCTTTCTATCCTTAACATGCCACCATCTTTTCTTCCTCAGGGCCTTTGCACTTGCTGTTCCCTCTGCCTAAACCATTCTTCCCCCACACCTCGAATGTCTGGTTCCCTCAGGATACCACTCAAATGTCGCCTCCACAGAGAGGGCTTCCCTGACCTTATCTAAAATGGCATCCAAGATGTGGTTCCATAGTATAGCGGTTAGCACGTCTGCTTTTCACACAGAAGGTCCTGGGTTTGTGCCCCAGTGGAGACATGGTCCATAGTCTACAGCCATGCCACCCTGAACAAGCCCTTCCTACCGTCTGATCTCAGAAGCTAAGCAGGGTCAGTCCTGGTTAGTACTTGGATGGGAGACCACCTAGAAAGACCAGGTGCTGTAGGCATAAATAATAATAAAAAATAAAGTGAAAAATAAAATAGCATCCATTTCCATCTCCCTATCCTGCTTGATGATTTTTCTTCATAGCACTTTTTACCACCTGACATTATTTTATAGATTTATTCACTTGTTTTAAACAAATTTGGTTACTTGTTTATTTATTTGTCTGTCTCCCCTACTAGAGAATCTGCTCCCTGAGAGCTCCCTGTTTCGTTCTCTCCCAGTGCTCGATGCAGTGCCTGAAACATAGTGTCTACTGAATGAAGTAATATTAGTCATTAATTGGTAAATAAAAATGTGAATGGTAGGAAGGAAGAAATAGAGGGGAGGAAGAGAGCAAAGTAGGGGAGAGGAGAACACACACCCCAACAGCCAAGCCCCAACTCACAGGATGTAGGCAATGACCCCAATGGACCAGCAATCCACTGCCTTGCTGTAGGGCTTCTGGGCCAGGACCTCAGGGGCTATGGAGGGAAGAGGACATGGTGGTGACAAATCTCTGCTTTGCAGCTCCTGGCTCTTCCCCTGCCTGTGGCTCCAGCCCGGGGCCCTTCGCACCCACGTATCCCGGGGTCCCGCAGGCTGTGGAGAGCACACTGCCAGGGTCCTCCATCTTGGAGAGGCCAAAGTCGGAGATCATGATCTTGGAGTCTTCGTCCAGGCTGTAGTACAGCAGATTCTCTGGCTTGGAGGGCAGGAGGGAGGGAAACGGGCAGTTATAGATGGCCAGAGGCTGGTAGAACCTTCTGTCTCCCAAGCACTTCCTGAGAAATGGGCCCCCAAAAGCCACTGCGGCTTCATGGCTGCCATCTTGTTTGGAGGCGCAAGAAACTCAAGTTCTCAAGGAGGTTAAAAGTTCCAGAAAGGACAGGGCCTCAGAGATGTCGGAGGCCCTTTGTTTATTGTAAAGACTCAAAGAAATAATTTTTGAGCACCTACTTTGTGCCAGATCTTTTGCTACTATTTGATTTCATTTCATCCTTACCATATCCCTGCCAGGCCATTCTGAATAATCCCACCTTACAGATGAGGAAACTGATGCCTTGAGAGGCAAACTGACTTACTTGCCTGAGAACCTACAGTTAGGGAGTAATAGGGCCAGGATTTAAACCCAGATCTGTCTCACCCCAGATCTGGTCTTCTAGACCAGAATGAGATGCACTACATCATGTGAACCCCATCGCAATCTCTGAGAGGGACGATTTCAAGAGTTTCTGGCTTTCTTCATTATATTTTGCTCTCCCATCCAAGTTTTCTACTAAGAGCAAGTGAGACTTTTATTGTCAGAAAAAGACACGATGTTATTTGGATAAAATGACAGCAGAGTTCACCTTTGTGTCCATTTGAGTGTCCGAACTAGAATGGGAGGAGGCAATTTAGGGCTTACAAGGTCCATTTTGCAGATGGGAAGCTGAGGCTCAGCAAGCGGTAAGAGTTACCCAAGGTCATATAGTGAGGAGTATGCACAGTCCCCACCCCTGGGTGCCTCAGCTATTCACACCCTCGCACCTCACCTTGAGGTCCCGGTGTACGATGCCCAGGTCGTGCAGGTACTTGACAGCATCCAGCACCTGGAAGATGAGGCGGCTGGCATCCCGCTCTGTGTAGAAGCCTTTTTCCACAATGCGGTCAAACAGCTCCCCTCCCGACACCCTGCAGCAGGGGACAGGGCAGTTTGGCCAAGAGAGTGGGAGAGGTAGGG